CAAGCGAAGCCATGAAACTCATCAAAGTACAGTATGAGAACATACTAGCTATTGACAGTATTGTCACTGAAGTGAAATCAGCCCATGGTGGTCTACACATGCAACAAATACAGAAGGAGTACAGTGATGTGTTCACAGGTGATGGCTGCATGGAAGGAGAGTACAAGATCGAGATCGACGAGAGGGTGGAGCCAGTGAAACTCCCCAAACGACGAGTCCCGGTTGCCATGATGACTCCTCTCAAGTTAGAGCTGCAGGATCTACAAAGGAGAGAGATCATCACACCTGTGGAGAAAAGCACAGACTGGATAAGTAGTCTTGTCACAGTGCAGAAACCTAATGGCAAGCCAAGAATATGTATTGATCCAAGACCACTGAACAAGGCTCTAAAGCGGAGCCATTTCCCACTTCCTAGCATTGATGACATCCTTCCAGACCTGTCGAGAGCGAAGGTGTTCACAGTCTGTGATGTCAAACATGGCTTTTGGCATGTGAAATTGGAGGAGGAGTCAAGCTATCTAACAACATTTGCTACACCGTTTGGCAGATTTAGGTGGCTCAAGATGCCTATGGGAATCAGCCCAGCACCTGAGATTTTCCAGCGGATGTGCGCTGATGTCTTAGTGAATAATCCTAAAAAAAGAAATTTACAGTTAAAAAGTATTATGTTAATAAAGTGTCAAATGCTGTCGACACTAAAGAAAATTTAGGGGGGGTTTCAGGAACTCAGTGTAGTGTAGTCACTGGTATAGTCACACGTATCAGGACGTTCATGACACCGGATTGTGACCCAGCCGGTCCGAGACCATCCAGTGTCAGACCAACACCACAAGTGTGTACTGAGACAGTCCTCCAACACATTGTCAAAAGACCTCAGCACACTTCACAGGTTGTCAGGTGGCTGATGCCCGACAGTGTGAGCCCATGACACGGGACCAGGGCAGAGTCGCCACTGCCTAGCTAAGGAGGAATCTTGTGGAGGTAAGAGGTCGACGTGGCACCATCCTGGACACCAGTTGTCCGGAGGGTGGTGTCATCGGCAGGAGGTCTAGCACACACCAAGGCATTCCGACTTGAGATTGGGCCAGAGGGACAAACTCGTGTCAGGTACAGGAATCGACAAGGACAACATCATACACCGAACGAAGAGGACGGGACAGTTAGGCGAGAGACCACAACAGACAAAGTGGAGCCCAACATCCTCTGACAGGGCTCGTCCATTCATCTCAAGACCAAGGAGGACGATTCGTCAGGGACTCGGCCGGAAACATCAGTCAGGAACACTCATCCAACCACACGCCACTAGGTTGTATCGGTCCATGCCCAGGGAACAAGGCGGCGGGGATCGAAAGTCGTAGTCAGCAAAACGTCAAAAGTGTGGCGCCTGAGCCGAAGGGCAACGAGACACCCATTAGGTCCTCTGCTGCAAAAACACGAGCTTGAGAGGGTGTCGGCTGACTTTGCGACCTTGAGAACCCTGCTTATGACCCGCGCGGGTAACAGGCTGTTTCTCTTATTCGCCCTTAGGGGGACTGCGCCTTTTTCACTCGAAACGTCGAAGGATTAGTGTCATGAAACTGAAACATAGTCCATTCCATGAAGTTGAAGGGTTTTCAACCTTATCATCAGGTGACATTACTCCATCAAGAATAGCAATTTCCATTTGTTTAGACCATGGTTGGAACCGGGTACCAGACGGAACAATGGAGTACACCTACATCACAGAGAAAAACAACAAAGGCACAGTTGACTAGACGTTTACAGTGTAAAGGGATACTTGAAAAATAGACAAGTAAGTAAGGGCCGGTCATCTGTGTAAGAGACCGGTGCGGACTCCGTACGGAGGTGTGGGTCCACTCTCTCCACCTAGGCCGCCCCACTACAGGGAAAACACACTTATACACCACTACTGTCGAGAGAGGGGAGACTTCTACTACAGTAGGACATATGAGTCCAAGGAGGACCTTACTCATTCATCACGTATTATAGATAGCCACACAGACAGAAGAATACAAATCCGGGTAGGGAAGACTTACCACAACGATTCACAGACCGATCGCAAAACAGAGGAACACAACTCGTCTCGCCTAACACGAGTCAGAGAGAAGTCTCTATCCGTTCATCCGGGGCTGGTATAACTGGCAGAGTTGTTAGAGTGAAGGTGACAAGGACGGTCTACTCAGAGAGACCATTCATACGAGATGAGTTACATAGACGTTCATTGTACAGTGCTGGACCCTGTATTTAGTGTAGTTTTAGTATAGAGACTTCAGCCTCGTTGTATGCAACCTCAGAGAAACCACGTGAATTGTCACCGAAAGAACTGTTACAAGAGGTTGCCGAATACCAGTGAGACATGACAGTGAAAGGCCCGGTATGCACATAACTACTTGAAAAAGGTACGGTATCTGTTATCGATTTGTAAGAAAAAGATAAAACCCGTATCGGGGAAGACCCAACCACAGTCACGAGACGAGGGCTTACGATGTCCAAAGGGAAAAACTCAGTCACGACGAGAGGGTCGGGGCAAAGACTTCGTAGTGTGACCGTTACAGTCAAGGAGAACACCCAGTATCATGAAGTCATGACCACAAAACCGATATAACAGGAACTCGGACGACTTACGGAAGAAGCACGTAAAGACAGGTAAGGTGTATAAAAGGAACACACACTCGACAGAGTGTTAGAGTGTTAGTAGACTGTCCACAAACATCTTAAATCTCTCTATTAAATGGTAACGGTAGTCAGAGACATGTGGGAAGTGCAGTCAACCAGAACCGTACAGAGAGTGACGGGACTAGAAGAGCACCCAGTTAAAAGTCAGGTAGACCGACAGTCGTCCACAGGTTATATACCGTGGAGGACGACGGAGTTGGACTTAAAGAGACGTAAGTCGAACTATAAGAAAAGAGACGGTAGACGAAATCTTTGACAGAGTTAATAGTAGCACCAGAAACTTCCGGTAAAGAACACACAGTGGAAGAGGACACTAGTTATGCAGTAGTCGATACTACATCTACGGACCGTCTGGGAGGTCACGNTCCGGCTCTTGTTCCTGGTTGTTGTGAATTATCCAATCCCACAACAATGTCAGAGAAGGGACAGTCTCCCCTTTGGTTTCTCTGCTGCAGAAACAGCATGTCCTTCAGTTCAAGCTCGGACCTGGTGATGCAGAATCAGGCAAAAAAGAAACTTGTCAATTATCATCATTTTGTAATTGGTGATTTTTAAATTGTGCGTAGAAATGTGTGTTACCTGAGCAGGTGAGATGCAGGCAGGGGCGGACTGGCCATTGGGAATACCGGGAGTTTTCCCGGTGGGCCGGTGCCGGATATTATCATTATTTTTTATTCTGCCTCATTTTCGCCCCATTTACATTAATAATTGAATAAAGTAAACAGCCTTTGCACCCCGGGCCGGCAACATTTTGCATTTGCCCTGTACGATGGCCGCTGTAAGTGATGAAAGTGGGGGATGTTGACTTATCAGACGCCCGCAGCTCAGCCAAAGTGCGATCGAGCCTCGGAGCGAGCAAGAGAGAGACAGGGCGTGCATCGGTAACACGGATTGTTGTTGGATTGAGGCTGATAACTACAGCTCAGTGCGGTAAAGGACTATGAGGGTTTAGATAGTTCACTTTAGTCTAAGTTATCTCAGTGGGTCTCAAACGGTTTGGTCACAATTTATGTAAACACATATTTCCAAGGTACACCTTTATAATTATTGGGATAAATAACAACAGGTTTGAAATCATTCCAATGTATACTATAGGACAGTAACTAAAAAATATCGTTTAAAACTGGAGATATTAAAAAAAATGCATGAATAAATAAATGTTTACTAAGTAAAATAAGATATGAATGAACAACAAAAATAAAATATGTTACATTTATTTGTTATTGGCTTTGGTAGGTTATTGGTTATGTTCACGTACTTATTTGGTTATTAAAATGTAAACCTATTTTCTTCATTTGGGTGTTTTAGAGTTGTACTCCCTAGATCTAGTCTCTAGTAATTCTGCTCAAAGCGCACCAGATTCAAGCATTTTACTTTAAAATGTTAAAAAAAAAATCTACCCCCGGACCCCCTAGAGAGGATGTGATGTCCACCCCCCAATTAAAACATGTTCAATAATGAATACATTTTAAACCTTCTTCTTTATGTATATAAACAACATGTCAATACGTTTCAGTTGTTGTAGTTTATTGGTCTTTTGTAGAGATTTTTAATTTATTCTTTATATATTCTATTGTTTATTGCTTGGAGCAGGGGGGGGGGCACCAAATCATAATCTCGCCTAGGGCACCAAAATCTCTAGGGCCGGCCCTGCATGCCCTCATTGGTCATGTGCGCGTTCGTTTGTGTCGGAGGCGTTGGAGGAGGGGCTCTGTAAGGAAATTGCAGATTTTCTCCGGTTGTGTATTTTCAAATTGTAGTGCACTCGAGCTGGTTTCTCCAAAATTACCTACCCCATCTTGAAAGATACATTTTTTCCATAAGTGGTTTTAATTGTATTTGTTTTGCTTAATATAATTATTATTATTTTGTTTGAAAATTTAATTTAGTTTAATATAATTATTCAATAATATATTATGCTTTATTTTTCTAAATATAAATATTTTTTGCTTAATGATGTGATTTTATTTAGCATTATTTTATTAATAAGTTTTAATATATAGTATATATAATTATTTAACTTCTGTTTTCTTAGATTATTTTTTATTCTTGACAAATATGCATCAATAAAGTTTATTATGGGTTTATCTTAACACTTAAAATTACTCCTGCTTCAGATGAAATGTGTGTGTGTGTGTGTGTGTGTGTGTGTGTGTGTGTGTGTGTGTGTGTGTGTGTGTGTGTGTGTGTGTGTGTGTGTGTGTGTGTGTGCGCGCGCGCGCGCGTGTGTGTGTGTGTGTCGTGTCCTGCTCAGCCTCTAATGTGAGACATCGCGCTCAGAGATCGGGACCGATCAGCGGTCAGTAGCTGACTGAAGTGCTCCGCGTCCGGACTCACAGATGCACCGGAGACCGGGATCAGAACCGGGGGAAGTCAGAGGTTCTTTACGCTCCGAGATGGAAAATATTGAAAAGACTCTTTGAAAGTTTACATTTTGGACATGGAGACAGAAGCGAACAGACAAATAATCACAACAACGTCCGCCTGAGGTTCGGTGCAGCGGAGGATGACACCGGCACCGCCTGGCGAGCACCGACGCGTTGATCAACACTTCCACATCTCTGGAGAAGAGTAGGTAAAAGCAAAGAGCGACTGTCTGCCTCTGGTTCTGCAGAAGGACCAGCATCGCTCTCTCTGCCAGCTCTGCTTACCGGCTGCGCAAACAGCGCGCTTGTTTTGCGCTCCTTTATATCTTTGCACCATCGCAGACTGCGGCAAAAAACAAACCCGGACATCTCGTTCAAACAGGTAAGCGTCAAAGCAGCCTTAAGTTTGACAGCTATGGAGACGAAATGTTAAGACAAATGTTGCTGTTTTTAAAGTAACAGCGTTTTCAGCTGATTTTAAAAATAGAACATCTTGATAAAGAAGGAAAAAGTGTGCGTAAAATGTGCTCTATTCACCATTTTGGCTCATGCATGGATATATCCATTAAATAGTTTTAAATCAAGGAATCTTCACGGGTTCCAGAGAATAGTAGGTCATTGATTAAGCCTTTAAAATCCATTTTTTTCCTCTTAGAGCTCGGAACACATTGTCTTATCCTGACTGTCTGAGTATCACACATATATTCTGTATAAAACACAACCCTCCAGTCAAATATTGTGACAGGAATTTATACACATTTGCCCAAATATTCTACCTAGGATGTTTGGAAACATTAGGATCCCCTCTTTCTAATTGCTTTTGGCTGCACAGGATGAGCTTGTAATGGTAGGAGAGGCAGATGTTATTATACTCTACGATATGTGGCTAGAGGCGTAAGAAGAAGTAATATCACAGTGTAGGAATACTCTGTTACAAGTACAAGTCATGCAATGCAAATGTTACTCAAGTAAAACTACAAAAGTATTAGCATTAAAATATACTTACAGTACTGAAATGAAAAGGACTCATTATGAAGATTGGCCGATTTTATTATATTATATATGATATGTTATGATTATAATTATTGATGTGTTATTGTGTTTATCACAGCTGGTAAAGGCTGAGCATGTTTTAATGACTTTGTATGATGTCAGGTGTTACTAAAGTCTTATTTATGTGCTGATGTATATTTCAAATAATGAATCCCATCTGCAAAGTAACTAAAGGTATTAAATAAATGTAGTTGAGTAAAAGTACAGTGTAAACTCTGAATTGTAGTGGATAAGAAGTACAAATTAGCAACAAATTAAATGTATTAGAAGTATCTCAAAATTGTACTTAAGTTGTGTACTCGAGTAAATGTACTTAGTTACTGCACTGTTTGTGGCCCATGTGGATTTAAAGTGAGATTAGATGTTACTATGTTGTGTTTAAACCCTCTCTTCCTGTTGCAGGTCTCTGCAGCCACGCTCGTTCAAACATGACTGCCCTCTTGTCTTCATGCTGTTTCCCTGATGAGAGTTCACATCTGCTGGATATTAGGAAGTAAAAGAGCTTTGCTACAAACTCTCTGAACAGCATCAGCAAGGCAGTATAATCTGTGGACTCACCATGGGCACTATCCTATCCCTGTCCCCCGGCTTTCGGAAGTCAGGCTACTATGACAACCGTCCGGGCTCGCTCAGCCACTACCCGAGCATCAGCAGCCGCTCCCTCAACAGCCAGAAAGAGCGCGGGCTGAAGAGGGGGCAGTCCATCTTCCTCCCGGCGCTGACATGGAAGCGACTGGTGGCTTCAACCAAGAAGAAGGGTAACTCCAAGAAAGGCTCCGGTGGTCAAATGGCCCTCGGGGACCCTCTCAACAACAACAACAACATCAACATCTACCAAAAGGACCCCTTGTTGCACCTCAACCGCGAAAATGTGAAGAAGTCGTTGTCCTGTGCCAACCTGTCCAGCTACGAGGGCCCAGCAGGTCTGGGTCTGGGGCTCGGCTACGGCATGGGGCTGGGCCAGGGCCACGGATACGGCTACAGCAAATCACAAGTGCTCTCCTCTGTGAAAAAAGTTCCCCAAGGGACGGCGACATCGTCCCCAAAGCGCGTCATCGTCCAGGCGTCCACCAGTGAGCTGCTGCGCTGCCTGGGGGAGTTCCTGTGCTGTCGCTGCTACCGGCTGAAGCTCCTGGCTCCCGCCGACCCTGTGCTGTGGCTGCGGTCCGTGGACCGCTCGCTGCTGCTGCAGGGCTGGCAGGACCAGGCCTTCGTCACGCCCGCCAACGTCGTCTTCGTCTACATGCTGTGTCGAGACGTGGTGGATGGCGACGTTGTGTCGTCGGAGCACGAGCTGCAGGCCATCCTGCTCACCTGCCTCTACCTGTCCTACTCCTACATGGGCAACGAGATCTCGTACCCGCTCAAGCCCTTCCTGGTGGAGGCGGGTAAGGAGGCCTTCTGGGACCGCTGCCTCGCCATCATCAATGCAACCAGCGCCAAGATGCTGCGCATCAACGCGGACCCGCACTATTTCACACAAGTATTTGCTGAACTCAAGAGTGAGGGCGGCTGCGGCCCTCAGGACTATAGTCGGTTGCTGGATCGGTGAGAAGAACTTTGCTGATCACAGGCCTTTTTGTACACTCATGCACATGTATACTTGCACACTGAAGCATACATTTGTCTCATCGGATTCCTTATCTTCTTCTGCTGGAGGAATGTCGGCCTATCTATAATAAATGTAATGATTATATCTCTGTTCTCCCTTGCATCTTCAACAAAAAGGAATTATAAACATTCTCCCCAAGATAATTGGCATAAAAGAAGCTCACAGTTTTGCTTTTATTTTCCTTGTCCTGGAATATCCACCTGAGTTTACTTGAATTGAAGAACCATTTGGCCCATCTGTCCAGTACGTGGTCCCAGCTGCTCCTCTGGATCTGCACAACCAAGCCTCCTATCCTCTATGAACTTCTCTGAACGTGCTCAATCAGTGCTTAGGACAATAGGATGCCATCATCCCTCCACCAATACCATCAAGGATTCTTCAACATTTGCATTCTAAACGTTGGAGTGGATTCACAGAAGAATAAAACAGACAATATAATCCTCCGAGGCCAAGTTACATTTTCCAGGGCAAAAAGAGGAGACATGTTGACATCCACTGCTGGCTAAGCCCCATGTGGCAGCAGTAAGAAGTGAGTCAGAGTGACGGGGACAGCTGAGAGGGCCATGTTAGGTCCTGCTGTGTGGTCAGTAAAGCAGAGCAGAGTTTTGTGGAGCCTTTTGAGGGGCGTCTGACTTGAGGGGACAGTTGCTGTTTTTTTTATCGTTACTCATTCAAGCCTGCATCTGTGTTTCCATTTTATCTCAGGAGACTCTCCTGGTGGGAGCATAATTTGAGATGGATGTGTGTGTGTGTGTGTGTGTGTGTGTGTGTG